CCTTTTCAAGGAGACCGACATCCCTGTAACCTTTGAGGAATTACGCTTTAGGTAGGTTGACAACATCCATCCAAGAGTGTCTTTTATAGCGAACTACCCGGTCGGGAAACAAACAACTTTGATGAAGTCGTTGAATCCATCAAAAGGAATAAAGTGTGTCTTAAGGGCATTGTTAAGGAGCCCGTTGGAGAAAGTATTTCTGAGACATTGGTCATCAAACTGAGGCAAGTTCTGACTTCTCTTTTCCTCCTTTGTGTTTTTTTTTTGTTTCTATCCTTCCGAACATCATTTCTCATAGTAAATGGCGCTTTAATTTGCCAGTCTTGGATGCCCAGCGACGTTTTCGGTAGTCACTACGCCAGTCGGTTCCCAGTAGATATGGCCCTTTTTCAGGACCTGCCAACACCGGTCATTTTATATGGTCAAATTATATTATAATTCGTATGGATGTCTCTAACTATCGCGAAGAAGATAAGAATCCGCATCTAAACAATCCCATCTCATTTTTGGAGTTCTGTTCCGTTCACCCTAGTTCGGCTGACCAACTTATAATAGCTCTCACGGTCGCTCCTGTCATTTGAATTTCATAGCGGTACCCGTGGAGTTATGAATACTGACGGAATACTCATAAATTCAGCATAAAAAGCTTTATCGTGTGGAACTTCTGGCCTAGGGCTTTTCGAGCACACTTTGAATTTCAAGGAGCAATACTAGTTTGACAGTGAAATGTCCTTCGTTTGCCTAAACTTCTTAAAGTTTGGTAGTTGGGCCACACGACTCCTAAACCACTACCAGAGGTTTCTCCAATTTTTTATTGAAAAATCCTTCGACTTTAGAACTAAAGTGGCAACTTATCTCACCAGATGTCCCGCTGCTGTAGTTTTTCACTTCTGTCTTGACGACTTTTATATTTAACCTTTTTTTATCATATAGACGCGCCTTGGACTTGTATGCAAACGCTGTTCATATTCGAAGCCTCGAGGGCGTCAAGACGCGCCACACTGATGTCGATTTTGTTGTCGTCCGCGAATGTCTTGAGGGCGAGTATTCGTCCATGGAGCATGAATCAGTACCTGGTGTTGTAGAGTCCATGAAGATCATAACTCGCCTAAACTCGGAGCGAATAGCCAAGTTTGCCTTCGATTTCGCCAAACGTAACGGTCGCAAAAAAGTGACAGCCGTTCACAAGGCCAATATTATGTAAGAACCTTTTTTTCGCAGTTTCTTCACAGTACCCTATAATTTATGATATGGCTTAGAAAGGTTACTCGTGTAATCGTTTTCTCGATGCATTTAGCTATCTGCTGGTGTAGACGGTACTTGTTTCCGTAGTTAATCTTTAACCAACCCCATTAGAATTTAGCACAAGACCACCCCAGAGAACGGTCCCAGCTGGCGTGTGCAACAGTAATAAATTATGCCCGCTTTTTGATGAAAGTGAGGTCTAGGTGCTTATTTCCCAAGTGTGTGTATGCC